CTTAGAAACCAAACTCGCATATCTGATCATCAGCCAGTTTATGGTTTGTTAACATCTGCACTAGAGGTTTGTCACTAGGAAATAAGAAATTTACATAGTAGTGTACAGGACTTCTGCTTTCGAGAAAGGAAAGTGGAAAAGAACAACTACATACACGCACATTTATTATGTGTACCTACGTGTACACATGTATATATATTGTGAGAAGAACAGAAAGTAGGCCAACATAAAGGCTTCAGTTTTTTTCAGTACTTCTTCCTAGCTCCCATAAATAATTGCAAGTTCAAGGTGATAGAGTAATTGGAAAAATTTGCTTTTTAGAAATTTGTCAAAGAATGTTTTGATATGTCTAGATCTTAAAATCTCATGATGTTTGCAGCTATTAATTTGATGTATAATTGTCTTCTTTTATATCAGGTTGATAAAACAAAGCAAGTGTCCACCTATCAGGAAGTGGTTCGTGGAGAGGGGATTTTACCTGATGGTGGAGAGTACAAACCCCCTTCCGATTCTTTGAAAAGCAGAGACTATTACACGGATTTCCTAATTACACTGGCTGTGCCCTCGGCAGTAGCATTGGTCCTTTTTCTAATACTTGCTTATATCATGTGCTGCCGACGGGAAGGCGTGTGAGTACTTTAAAACACTAATAAAAAGTTATAGAGCCTACTAAGATAACAACATACAAGATTCCATCAAAAACCAAGTTTCATTTAGTTCATAAAACACTTTATAAGTGAATTGAAATTGTGTTCAAGTCAAACTACAGTACTTTATTCTTTCGAAATGAATTAAATAGTTTTGAGTCTAATATAAATCAAATTAGGGGATATAATTACTTTATTCAAAAATTATTAAGGCTAGATTTAATTCATGCTGGCAAAAACAGTCCCAACAATAATTGAGGCTAGATAGTTTGGTTATACAAGCCACCTTGTGTAAGCAAAGACTTCGGAATCTGTTGACATGGTAATTACATTTTAAATAAATTGCCTTAGTTTGATCAGAAGTGATGATCAGAATTCTTGAAATTGTTCCGCTGTCAAACAGGGTGACACAATCTAAATGTTTAAATAACTATGTATGTGAGTATATATACACACATATATATATATAAACTTAAGAGTAAATTAATGACAATAAGGGTATTATTTGAGTAATGAGTCTTCACTTCATGAATAGTTAGTACTTTTAAGACATCAGTGTCAATTAAAATAATCTCCCAAGACCATCTGGAAGTCAGGGTACCAAAGCCAAGGATAAAAAATTAATAAAGCAGCAAGTAACAAATTCTTCCATTTTTACATGTAGCCTGATTTCATTATGTCATAGAATTTATTTCTAAGAGCTTGATTCTTAATCTCCATTTTTTTTTTTCATTTTTCTGTATGTTTCTCATCAGTATTCCATCTCTGTATGTGTAGTCATCCAAGTAACGTCGTAAACCTGGCGGCAAGTGCTGCCTGGTGGCATTTAATAGTAACAGTCTCAGCATTTGCACATCATGCCAGATCCCATGAGCATATAGTCTTAATGTTCCAAATATCAATGCTATTATTTAATTCATAAATTTTGTTTTGTTTCTAGGGAAAAGAGAAACATGCAAACACCAGAGTAAGTGTCTTCTTTCCTGTTATTTTCTTTATCATTTTTTTTTCACTTCTCAGTTGCTCATCATGCTTCATACATGTGTGTCATGCTTTTGTTTTTCATTCACCATCTTTCATAGTTTATTTCATAAATGAGAAAGCTGCTTTCTAAATAGAGATATTTAGGAGAGTTAGAAACTAAAAATAAAAAATGTTTGAAAACCAAGATTATACAGATTAAAAACTAAACCTAAAATATTTCAGATTCAGAATATTAACTTGCCATTTATATTATGTGATTTCCCAATCTGCATTTCTATAAACCAGAGAACAGATGAAAAGACCTTTCATACACGTTTTCCTGAATCTACAGTAATAACCTACCATAAAATGAAACTTCTGTGAGTATTTATAAATGCCCCATCAGAAGCAACAAAATAAAAGCTCTGGTAGTTTAATCTTAATTGTAGAAATTAAATAGAATGCTAGTTTGTTACTTAGGGCTATAACATTAACACAACGCTTTATAGCTTAGTTTAATGAGACACATTTATTTAAAATTAGTTTATAATTTTCAGTATTGCTATATTAAAAGTATATGAAATGTATCTTTTTCTGAGATAACTTGTAGAATGCCCAAAGTGCAATAATGTTTTCCTGTTTTTAAAAATTAAAAAATTGAAAATTTTTTCAAATTGATGACCAATTGGGCTAATATATGGTTTAAATATATGTCGTTTTATTTCTTCTTGACCTAGCATCCAACTGGTCCATCATAATGCTATTCAGAAGTCTACCAAAGAACTTCGTGACATGTCCAAGAACAGAGAGATAGCATGGCCCCTGTCAACGCTTCCTGTGTTTCACCCTGTGACTGGGGAAATCATACCTCCTCTACACCCAGACAATTATGAGAGCACTAATATGCCACTGATGCAGACACAGCAGTAAGTATCCACTTGGGACAGTGATTATTAATATGCATGACTATATCTACTTAATGCCCATAAAGACCAGAACTTTTTATTATTGTTGCTTTCATTTGTGTGTGTGTGTGTTTGTAACTGGAAAGGACCAAAAGGACATTAATAGTGTAGATTCCAACCTCACTATACTTACTCAGATAAATAGAATTATTTTCAGGAAATAATTTTTCCTTTACTTATCCAAACTAGATAACATTTACCTTACTATTTAAGAAATTGACACAGCTAATAAACTAACATATTTGCTCAAAGATGAGTTAATTATGAAGAGAAGCATATCCTAAAGCATAAGAAATTGATTGTTTTTTAAAATCTATTATTAGAATTATTTGGTTATGTTAACCTGTTTTTTAAATATTATTACCACAGATCTATTAAATTTTTTCCTCTGTTGTTTTTGTGATCTGCTTATATATCAAAATGAATTGTTCCAATTTTGGCTATAAACACAGTTTTTTAGTGCAGACCTTCTCTGTAGTACTAGGAGGACTGTGATCAGAAAGCCAGAAGAGGCTTTGGTAAGCGGTATGTATGGGGGTGCTTGAGGAGGTGACCCAGTTGCTCTCAAGAATCTATATGCCTGGATCAACTTCGACATAGGGAATTGTAGGTAAAACTGTCATTTGTTTTTAAGAATGTGGCTTTTTTTTTTCTTTTTTAACCATATGTTAAAATGACTTAAATTCATTTTCCCCAAGGAAGTCACAAGTTTGCTTTTGAGAGCCTCCTCTTTTTCACTTTTGTGAATCGAATGGATATACAGAAAAATTTCCCTTCTCCCATACCCGTAAACCTTAGGATATGATTTAAAAGTCACCTCTTATTGATTAAAGATTTATTTGGGAGAGTGCAAATATTTCCCCATTGCGATGCTTATTTTGTAACCATGTAAAATGCATGTGGTCATTTGAAGATTAAACAGTAATTTCTATGAATAGACAGTCAAACTCAATAAATTTGTTCAAAATACTTTGGAAATCTAAAAGTATTGTATTTTTCTGAAGTCTTTTAACATCATTTACTTAGTGTTGAATAGGCAAAAGTTTGTGTTATTTTGTGCATATGTGTGTGAGCAATTGATTCAAGTCCTATTAACAGTGGAGAAAATTACGTAATTAAAAATTCTGAGTTTTGGAAACATTAATATTCTATCAGGGATATAAATATTAAAGTCCACAAAGTTTTGTTGTACTGAATGGAAGGGATGGATTTCTATGTTTTCTGATGGTTAATGGATCATTATAATATCCTCTTTACCAGGATAAGATACCGATGAGAAAAATCAGTAAAATTTCAAAAATATTGTAATAGTTTACAATTTAGCAATCTCTCCTGCCTTTTCTACATGAAAATTATAAACAGCCTTATCATTCATTTTCACAATGAAAAGAATTATAGAATTCTTGAATACTACTGTTTCTTATACTCTTTACCCAAGAGTACTAGTAAGATGTTGATATATCTTCTTCAAATGTTGATATATATTCTCAAAAATGAAGTGGTCAAATACACTTGAGAAACAGGGTTGTTTTTTTTTTTAAACTAGAGGAGTTCTCAGAGCCTTTAGTGTGTTGACATATTTGTGAATCCGTGCAAAAGGTCAGAAAATGTGACTTTAAGGAGATGCTTCTATTTACAAAATACCAATGCTATCGAATTTTAGAATAGAGAAATATTCATCGTAGTGAATAGGGGAACTTGAATATATTTGCAAATCAGTAAAATTCTATTGCTGGTGAAGTTTAAGGGAGGGAAAAAGGCTGTGCCATTTTTAAAATATGCTTCCTAACCATATATATTGAGCACAAAAATAGTTACTTAAAAATTATTTTGATTCCCTGTGGTTAGGGTTTTGCAACGTTGCTATTAATATACAGGCAAAATAAAATTTCCTATCCAAGTTACATCCAAATACATCTTCCTGGTCCTTCCATAATCTCATCAAGACTATTGTTGATCATATCTCTCTATTTGTAAATACTATAGGTTATATTATTGAACTTGGAACATATATGTATTTTAAGACCAGAAAACCTTCATATTATTCAAGTTTTTGCTAATGGGAAAACTGCAGTAACTAGTACTTCTGTATAAATAGGGTACAAAGATAATTGATGATGTTCACAATGATTATTCTGAGGCACTGCGAGATCATCAAGTCTGACTCATCAGAGGAAAATTAAATTACGTTCGGTGTAGTTTCAGTGTTGAGTGTATATTATCTTTCTTTTATTCTTGGAAATGGATAAAATGTGCATGGTCTCTATGGTAACTCCGTATAAGCCAGAATTTGTGATTAACCTCATTTTCCAACCATGCCAGATGATAGGGAATTCATTGTATCAAGTTCGTCACAACTGCCCTTTACGCAAATTCAGCCTTTACTCCTTACCTTAAAAGCATAGCCCTGTCTTTAAAGTTCTATTTCGGCATCAAGTATACACATATACAAATATTTTGGTCACTTTAACTGAACTGAATTCTTAACATTAAAGTGAAATATTTGATGAGGAATTATAGTATTTGATAACCGGGTATATGCTTAGATAATGCTGCCTGCTGTTTATCAATTAACTCTTCGTAAAAAGGCATGCATTTCATCTTCACATATTCATGGCAACTGCACTGAATTTACTACTCATAAATAACCGGCTAGCTACAGGATTTTGTGTTTATTCTTCAGACTTGACACCAGAAATATTCAGGCGTAAGGATGTGGCTGAAAGTTTATATTGGCTTCTATGCAAGACTCAGGAACATTCAAAGCTTTCCTTCAAAGCTGCATAGAAATTTCTTTGGGTCTTTTAAACAAGTTGATCCAGGAGGTGTAAAGAACCTCATAACAGTGCGAGGTATAGAGAACTTATAACAGTTGTGTAATGAGGGATTGTCAGAGTTATTTATCAATTACACAGTAACAGTCGTTTTGGTTTTGGTTTTGGTAAAATGCTTCATAGGACTCCAGACTGGCATCCTAAATCAGACAATAACAAATGTTTAATCATTTGCAGATGTTAAAATTGAGACATAGATAAGAGACAAAGCTAAATCAGGTCAAAACAGATTAGATTATTTACCTATCTTGATCAAGTCAGGGATAGATAATGTGGTCATTGACCTCAGAAGGTCAGAGGATCTCTTCATCCAGGTTACCTATAAGGTGAGTAAACGCATAGTGGAGAGAGAAGCTGGAGATGGAACACGTGCTCAGAAAGGAGGGATTTCATCTGTACAGTGTTCTTTCTACTTTTCAGATTACAGAGACAATACAAACAGGCTGTTAAAATTATCACGTAGTATAGAAACATAAATTTAATTTGAACTTCGCTAATGTATTTCTTGGTTAACAAACTTTTTGTTTTGAAATGATTTTTGAGGTACAGAAAAGTTACAAAGATAACAGAGAGTTCCTAGATATCCCTCTTATAGTATTTTATTATATTTGTTACAACTAAGAAACCAACATTGGTGCTTTACTATTAGCCATACATCAGATTTTTTCCCCCAGATTTTACTAGTTTTTCCCCTAATGTCCTTTTTCTTTTCCTTGGTTCTGTCTAGGGTACAATAACTGCATATCTTAATTTTCTCTGATCTGGGCACTGTCTTAGACCTTTCTTGATTCCCATCGCCTTGAAAGTCTTAAGGAGCACGTATTCTGTAGAATGCCCCAGATCCCCTAGTATAGTCAGGCTTTCTCCGTCTATACTTAACCAGTTATCTTTGTAGCTCAGTGAATAAATATTACCATTGATAGTAAGAAGAATTTTTTCCTCCATAGGCAGTTCCGTTACTTGCTACAAATTCATTGCTGGAATTCACTTTATAAAATCTTAAAAATAAATTCGCTTTGCCCAAAGAATCATTATTGTGATTAGGGATTATGTTTTTGACCAAAGACTTAACATCAAAAATATATTACAGATTTAACTGATGTACCTCAAAGATAGAGCTTTGTAATGGTTTAAGAAAGTCAAATTCCAGGTCATAGAATTTGGGGTCCTAAAAGGGATGTTGATAGTTTATAGAGCATGGTTGTTCCCAAACCAAGTTGCAGGTCACACTCACCCGTAGAGCTCTTAACGGTGCAAATCTCAGGGCCCTCCCTCCGGAGATTCGGAATCTCGGTGGATATGTGTTATCGTGGAGCAGGTAAAAAGCTTGAGATTCCCTGATTTAAACACTTAAAGGACCCAGGTGTTAGGATTCAGAAAGGAGACTGGTATTTCTGGTATTTCTGTTGGGGGTGGAGGGAGGGAAGGGGTTGTTATTCACACTTTTCCACCTCGCAGAGTTTTAAAAGAGGAACAGTTTCTCCTAATTCTCCCTGAGGGATATCTGCAAAAGAAAAATGTGAAAGGGGGCAGCCCAGCACATTATCTAGAGTGTTGGGGCTGTTTGTGGGTTTATGCTTATCAGCCTCTAGACTTTTCACACCTCCTTAAGTTGCCTGAGGAGCATGGTGGGAAGTGAGAGATGAGTGTTGATTAGAAAACAATGCCTGAATGGGACAGAGAAATGCCAAACTTCGAAAAGCTAAAAACTACTGGGAAATTGTCTTTACTTTGCACTGTTATGGCAGGGATTGAGTGGAGGATACCAAATATTCGATTTTCTAAAAAGTAATTTATTCCTAAGTTCGTACTATATTATGTGGTCTTTTAGGGGGTAGTTCTGCCTCCTCGTTATTCTCTTATACCAACGTCAATTGTCAATTGATTTTTCCTGAGTGGAAGGCATCTTCATACAGGATGGAATGTGGTGAATAATAGCGGAAGTGCCCAAACATTTTCTTGGAAGATTTTAATTGGCTACACAAAAATTTTCCTTATGCTTTATATAAAACATAATACCTAATCCAGGGTAATTGGGTCCCCCTTAAAACAGGAGGTGTATTGTGCTTAATCTTCTGCAACTTAACAAGTATAGAAGTAGAATTAAGTCTTCTAATTAAAGATATTTAGTATCTAATTATTTTAGCTTTTATCTGAAGTATTTTTCCACTTGTCTTCCCTTTGGTAATAATGAGAAATAACTTTATGATAAAATTCCATAAATAAAAAATTATTTTCAATAAAAGTTAATATCAGTTAAAGAGAATGTTTCAGGGGACCAGGATAATAATTTCCTGTTGACCAGAAGTGTCAACCAGCCAAAGATATTTCGGAGCCATTGACTTTTTTTTTTTTTTTAATTCAGTAAGTATACACTAAAAGCAACAGATGCAGTATCTCTTTGGTGAATTTTGTTTTTATAGGTTTGTACTGCATCATTTTGAAGCTGTGGTAGGCTTGCTTTTGGCTTTATACTAGCAGGGAAAAAATTAAGTAAATGAATGTCTTCTTTCTCCTTTATGCATTGTTTTGGTTGAAGTTAAAAATAATGGTGATTCCAATTTCTTTATGTCCTTTTATTAATCCACATAATGGCCTACGCCCTTAGTAAAAGTTACAGGGTCCAAATCAGCAAGGTTTGGAGAATGTCAGTTTTGCTGAAATAACTGGAAATTTTAAAAATATATTATGATGTCTTATTGTTAAATGATTCCATACTAATTCAAAAGAGAAGTATTTTGTATTCCACATAACTGTACTGTCATTTGTTTTCAACTCTGGCATAGATTCTGTGGCTTTATACAAATCAGTTAACCTTTCTTTGCTTTTGAGTCTTCAAGCAAATAGTAGTATAATGGGTTGATAATCATCAACCTTACTCATAGAATTACTCTGTAAGATAACCAGGAATGTCAAATTACCTTAAAACGGTTGTGCAAATAATGAATAATTGCATACTCCCCCAAAATCACTTATTTATTTTCAAGTTATTACCTTTGCCTTTTTAAAGAATGAGGTTTGTGCAATAGCTAATTTACATAATTTTCTATTTAAACGCATGTAATTATGGTAAAATCAGAAAATAATTAATGCTAATAATTTAGAGAATTTCAGTTTTCTTAAATCTTTTTTCTACGTAATGCAGTTTACACAAAATAATTGTTCGGTTAGTCCATTAATAACTTAATTATTCTAGTTTTATGACTTGACGAAGGTCCTTTCTTTAAAGGATTATAGGACTTCTATTTGAAGTCAACCCCCACTGTCTTGTACAATTGCCCTTAGCAGCCTGCTTTCACCAAAGATGAAAATGGTTCCATTTCTTTACTGTGTTCTCTGCTGCTTAACCATCGCAGAGTTAGTCATAGGCATTTTTCCAGTATGCCCGAAGGAGTGGACTTTCGGCATCTTCAACTCTTTTATGGAACATACACTTCCAATATGCCCATCACAGATATGTTAACACTCTAACACTCACAGGCTCACGTGTAGTCACAACCACAAAAATAGAGCTCTGTGTGCACACCTCGGAGACTCTGGGGAAGTCAACTCTCCACATATTTTTTGTTGAGCACCTTTTTGCACAAATAAGCACTTTTATATAACTAATCTAAGTTTCAGTTGAGGTTGCAAGACGTGCATGTACATTGTTCAAGCATAACCACTTGGGACACGTACCACAGATACTTTTAAATCCCCAAACCAATGTCATGCACACAGTTACTTTCTCATACTGCTGCTCCAGATTTCTTGCTAGGTTATGTGTGGCACTTTTTCAACCAGCCGTTTCTCTGAAAACCTAGCCAAGACCATTGCTGTGTATGAAAAAAAAAAAAAAAGTTCAGCAGTGTAGCAGAAAAGGGGGAAATGAAAGCTAGAGGAGAAATGGCAGGGCATAGGATTGATTTTGATCAGTGTTTTTCAAACTTTGTTCCACAGAAGGGTAAGTGGGCCTGGCCGATGGGAGAGGGAGTTCGGATGACTTCGTCTAAATATTTTGGGCTTTAGATGAAGGGCTTCTGAAGGGCTTTAAATGTCCTCTTTGGTATTCTTATGTTTTCAAAATGTATTGATTTAATCCATTAATAGGCTAGATAGAGCTAGAGATGGTAAGAATTTAGGAAGGGCCTGCATGGGTGTGTGCATAATGCGTGAGTGCGTGTGTGCCCACGCCTATATGTAAAGGGGTGCTCGATTAGTTCCTGAAGTAGGATAGAGCCAAATCAATTTTATCTGAGAAGTTGAAACAAAATCCATATTTCCCTCCCAAATGCCCACAAAATCGAATTTTTACTTCTATAGTAAGGATGTTTATTTTCCCACTTTAGATCTAGAACTTATTCCTCTTTGTGGTTTATAAATTAATCTTTCTACTTTCATGATCAAAACCACTATAAATACATTGTGTGAATGGAAAGAATAAACAACCCCGCCCCCCCCAAAAAAACCTCCCTGAGACCGCATAGGGATAAATAGGGCTCGTAGGTATTAGGTAATAGTAAAAAAGAATGCAGTTACTGAGATGAATTATTAAGTAACTTCCTCAAATTGAGTTAGAATTGATTTGTTATTTCCTTAACAATATATTAAAATGGAAGCGAAATTTTTAAAAAAATTACTCAGAGTCATTAACATTCCTATAGATTACGAGTTTAACTAGCATGTACTGCTTTCTACTTTAGATCGTTGTATTTGGAACATAATATTTGCCTGACCCACATGATTTTGACCAATGTTTTTCAAACTCTGCTTCTTGGAGGTTTCTTAGAAATGCTCCAGGGACCAGCATGTGGGGCATAGGAAACAAAGCAGGTAGGATTCCGCCTCCCTTGCCAACTCGTTCAACCTCACATTTATCTCTTTTGTACATCGAGAGTCTGCTTAGTATTTCAATCAAAAGGAATTCCATTGCTGAATAGAAACAAAAAACTTAGAAAATCCCTGGTTTGGATCAAAACCTACTTCGTAGCAAGGAACTGACTCCTAGAATTTCTTCCACACAGAATCTAAATTGTACATTTTTGTAAATTAATTTTAATATCAAAACTTGAAACTAAATAGGTGTGTCTGAGGGATAATAAACATGTGTGTATTATGTGAATCTTTATAAGTATCTTCTTTTGCATGTATTTATTCAAACATGGTTTATTGCATGCTTGTTGCTGGGGATACAGACAAAACAGGATGATTCTTACTGTTAAGGCACTTTGAGGCAATTAAACATGTGAGGAGAAGTACAACGACAATCAACGTGTGTATGACAGCATGCTACATGGTAACCTTTTTATGGTGTGCTTAGAGGATGAGGAGGCATAGAAGATGTGGTACTTGAGAAGTTATTTTTTTAATTAAAAAAACAGTAATTTAAAATTCTTACTTAACATTCCTTGGGATATTTTGTAAGTATAAGAGTAATATGTGTTCACCATAACAAAGTTTGAGTTGAATTTGCAAAGACAAATAAATGGAAACTGGTTGGGTGCCAGAAATGGTAGTGGGTCATGGTGGTGGTGGTTCTGTGTCGAGCAGTCAGGGAAGGCTGCATTTATGGACCAGATATATTGATGGCCTTCTAGGACACACTAAAAAACTTGAAACTTAGTTTGCAGGTAGGTGTAAGGAAATAACGAAATGTATGTTATTTGAATAACATAATCAGATTTGTGTCTTAGAAGACTATCTTACAGCAGTGCGCACAATGGATTATAAGGGAGTAAGAGTAGGAATAAAGAAACAATTCAGATCAGTTGCAAAGATGCAAGTGAGAAATGATGATGGCTTCAACCAAGTTAGCAATGGAGATGAGAAAGAAGGGGACAGATTCAAAAAATGGAGGAGAATCATCTAGAGTTCCCAAGTAACTGGATGTGAGGACTGAAGGAGAGGGAAGGGCCAGGGATGACTTCTACATTTTGATGAGTACAGTCGGGTGGATGGCCATGATCATTTCCTGGGATGGGGATAGAGGAGCACAGATTAGGCATAGTGAATGAAGATGGTTAAATGTGTTGTTCTGTGAGCGTGTGACTGTGTCTGTGTGTTCTTCGACCAAGATCTGAAAGTGTACAGGTTACAAACAGAAGCCCTGGCGTCACTGGTTTCACATCTTTATCCACCACTTCCTAGCTATACAGCCTTGGATCTCTAAGCCTATATTTTCATCTGTAAACTGAGAAAAACAATACCTACCTCCTAGGGTTGTTGTGAAGTAAAACATAGGTAGTAGCAACTCCATGAATGTTACTAAAATTGTTATTATTTATCTTCCTCCGATCTCAGTTTCCTCATCCATAAACTCACTGGGGTGGAGCTGGTGCTAGATTAGATGATTTCTGGGGTCCTTTCTAGCTTTAAAGTTTTTCATTCTAATACGTCTTCTCTTTGTTTACATATATGTAAATAAACACGGTTTTACTCAAAAAATGTTAATCATTTCTAGGAACTTGCCACATCAGACTCAGATTCCCCAACAACAGACTACAGGTGAGTATTACAAATAGTAAGTTGATATATATGGATGAAGTTAATAGATTAAAAGATAATTAGTGCACTATATAATTTATAAAGCTTTAGCTTCACCAGGTAAAGTAAAACAGTTGGGTTATTCCTTAATCAGAGTTAGAACTTCCAAATAATAGCTTAGATTATTGCATAGATTGGCATCAGAGTGATAAACACAGGGTAAATGATCTTAGAGCAAAAGCATCCATGGAGGTCCTGTCTAATTAAGGAAGACTGAATGAAATCCTCTTCCTTCAGCGAAGCTCCCTATTCTTCCCCTTGGTTTGAAAGATTCTTTGCTTAGATGCATCCAGGATTTGTCTCAGTAAGTGAGCAGCTTGAAACTGACTCTTACAAAAGGAAACTATTGTGACTAATCACTGAGGCTTCAGGGGGATAAATGAGAAATGGTTGGCTTAGTTCTAATGCCACTTTAAAAAGCTGTTGTAACATGACCAATGACAACAAGATGGCGGACAATTCTCCCTGGACTATTCTATTTCCCTAAGATTTGCTTTCTTTAAGTTTATTTCTTTCAAGTGTCCCTAAAAAATTTCCACAGCCAATTATTTCATTCATCTCAGTACTGAGTAGATAACTTATTCATGATTGTCTTCTAATTAGTGGTCAATTCCTAGTTCTAATTGCCAGGCAACCAGTAATGCCTTTGTAGCTCTTTTGGAAGAGCAAAAGAAGTTTTAAAAATGTAAGTCGGATGTGGAATTCTGAGTATGAATACTAGTATTGTGGTAGGGAAGCTATTAAGTAAGTCTCTTAAAAACTTTAGGCACATATAGAAATGTATTGGATGTTTTTATTCAAAAATTATCTTCTTTATTACTGCTTTCGGGAATATAAGGAGATTTTCGTTTGACAACTTTTCAAAGATTTGAGGCAAGTATAATGAAGTTGTTCATCAGATTTTAATTATGAGATAACTTTTATCAGAATTTTCCCTCGCAATTTTGATTACTTGTTTTAATTAAATGCTAACATGTTTCAACAAGACTGTTCAATATATTGATGTAAGCATTCAGGAGACTGGATGAAAGGACAAACTTTGTTATAAACATGTTATCTGAAGAGCAAAAAATAAATGAGTGAATCCCTACTACCTCAGTTTTTAAAGAATATTTCTACAATGGAAATGCTAAAATTTCTTTCTCATTAAGTTCATAGACTCCCATTTCTCCTAGGATGTCTTTCCTCTGATTAATCATTATTTCAGGCAAGAAGTGAATAGAAGGGAGACAGTATCTAGCAAAATAGTAAAAAATTTCTGAGTATTTTAAAAACCCAAATTTTACTTATTCCCCCATTGGTAGAAGTAAGGAAACTTAAGTAGATGCTATTAAGGAGATTTATTTGATAGTCGTATAGATTTTTAGCAAGTAGACCTGTTAGTGTGCTTCTTTTTAGTAATAGGCAGCATTTCCAAATCCAAGGACAGTTTATGCCTGAGCAAATGTGATGAGAGCCAAAGAATTTCCCTAGAGGGATTTTAGGTGGTTCAACCTAATTTTCTAAATTATTTTCTAAAACAGGTTTTGGGGAGCAGGCAATTTGCTTAAGACAAGAAGCTTTGATCTTCCTTTTAGTTAACACTATAGCCTATTACCTTCTTGTTTTCTTACATTTTTCTGTAATTTAGAGCATATTATTGACTAAAGTGCACTATTCTCTCTTGGTTGTTTTCTTCTTGCTTTGGGTGAGTCCCCAAAGTGTCTCAGTGCTAAAGGGAGAGAGACCACCCTAGCATTTTTTCCGTAATTGTTATAGATTGTTGTGTTTTTGCCTCTGATAAATGTAAAGCCAGATAGAGTCGTGCCTCCTGGAGAGAAGAGCTAAATGGAGAGGTTACGTTCTTTATTCCCATTCTCTTTGAATGAATAAAGTTTGTTTCTCAATTTCTAAGTTGTTCTGTTCTGTCCGTACATGTACGGATTCAGTGCTGTTTATGTTATTTTCATGGGTACACCAGCTTTCCTGTTCCTCCACCCTGGTTATCGTAGTACCCCAAAGAGGCAACAATATTTGTCTATGATTATCACGAAAGAATAATTTGCTTTTCTCAAGTACCTCAAGGTACTATGCTAAGTGTCAGTTTTCTTTACAAAGCTTAATTTAAGTATAAGGTCTGTCTCCAGGATACCAAGAAATTTTATATGTAACTACCTACATGGAATTTGTCAGGGGAGAGAATATTTTGAACTTTGTTTCATTCAGTTAGTAGTTGTCTTTTCAATGGTCATCCAGAGTTTGAGAAATGAACTAGCTGCTGGTGTTGTTATCCTGGACTTAAGCGCTGGCTGGGATAATGGAGCAGTTAAAAGCTGACAATAGCACAACTGTTTGGACCAGGCGCAAGGTGTGAGGGTCAGTGCCCCTCCTGGTTTTCTTATTTTCTCAGCCCTTCCAACCCACGTGATATTTTCTAAAAAGCCACGATTAAAAGGTACAGTCATACATCCTGCAGTCAACCGTGTTCTTTTTGTTTATCGTGGGAGGAATTCTCAGGCTTTTGAGAAACACAGAACATTATAGCTTTGGCCCAAGAAAGAGAGGACTAATTTAGAATTTTCATTTCTAACAATGTTTACGCTAAATGCAGAGAAATTATTTTAAATGATGTTAAGAAGATAGAAGATTTGTTTTGCTCAAAATCTACAAGTGTTCATGCCCTGACTTACACGTGCCCGTGTTCACTCTTCCACACTGCAGGTAAATGGAATCCCTGAAGAAAGAAAACTGACTGAAGCAATAAATTTGTAATCACACGATATAGCAATTATAGCTTATTTCTTTCTTCTCTTTTCCAATAATGCATGAACTTTTCTGGCGTATGGTATGCATGTCGACAGCATTAAGTATGTACCAAATAATGCAATATAACTTTGATTTTACTAATGGATTTTTTTTTGTATTTAAAGCATTTTGACAATTTGTAAAACACTGATGACTTTATATTTGTTACAATAAAAAGTGGCCTTTAAAATAAATATTATTAATGAAGTGTAATGTCTGGTGAAATTTACTTCAGAAAGTATTCAGTTACCTCCTATGTAGTAGGAATGTTTTATTACTAAGGAACAGATTCATGTGTTCATTCTTCATTCAACAAGATTTTATAAATATATAAAATATCTGGGCTCTGTGTTCTCAGTGTTTAAATAATACTTTTATCCTTGTGGCTCATAAAACCTGCTCTTTTATATACATGCCACTTCTTAGAATGTCTTAGGGTAGGCCCGGTTGGTGCAGAGCAGCCCAGGCTGTATAATTACCTGATTCCACAATCAGATACTTGGTTTTGGAAGCAAGCCAGGAGAATAGTTACCTATTGATAGGGGTATTTGCTCCAAAACCCCAGGCTGCCCTCTAATAACACTACTTTCAAGGCTTAGCAGAGTTTCCTCATAGCATGTCTGCCTGCTGCCTGCATCTTGAATTCTATTGGATCAACATGGCTATCAGGCCAGCTAGCAGGCCACGACAAGCAGGGTGGACCAGCTAGAAAACCTTTTCTTATACTACTCTGGGCAGGTTTCCATGTTCCTTGTTAATTGGCCAGAGGACAAACGAATGCTGCTTTAATCTGATTCCAAAATTCCAAAAGATTCCCTGTTAGTATCATATGCAACAACTTGTTCCCCAGTTAGGGGGAATACCCTGTCATGTCCTGGACGTTGGAAATCCCTCTCCCTCCCCTCCTTTCTAGGATTTATAGGTTCTTTGATTCATTAAAAGATTTATCTCCTTATTCCTTTCCAAGACAACTAGGGTATTGCTACCTGTTTTTTATGACTTATCAGCTTAAAGTTGTAAATATATTGGGTCCGGTTCCTAAGAGGAAGGGAAGGTTGCCACACCTCCAGATTAATAGATTGTGGCACAGCCCCAGAGAATTCGTGAACTGGTGCTCTGGCCAGGTTAAATCAAACTCTGCCTAGGAGTCCAAGTGGGCAGGAGCAAAGTAGTACATGATGCATAAATCAGGAAGTTCAGATCAGGGGTCAGGAACTTTATTCATCCGTTCTAGAAAAGAGGTCACCTTGGAGATTAGGAAATGCACTTGGAGTTAGCATCAGTTTTCACACTGACCATGTTGAGTAAAATGGGGATAAGAAGAATCATCGGCCAGCAATCTCACAAATCTTTAATAACTGCTTTGATCTCTGGATACCTTCCGAGAAAGGAATCTTGCCTCCGACTCTCTATTTTGATGGGGAGGAAGAGTCCAAATAGTTTTCTATGGGTTGTTGGTACCAGATCCTTTATGGGTTAAAAAAAAATGTGAGGGTTCTGCCACATTCTGAAGATTTATGTCTCAACGAAACACCCACTTAGTAGGCAAATGAGTACATGTGAGTTTGGGTTCTCAATGGTGAACTTAAACTAGAACACCTTTTTCAGTTGGCCACAATAAAGTTGCCCTAAAAAAAAAAAACAACAAACAACTGCAGTAGTTTTCTGCACTTTGAAGAATTTAAGGAAATTCAGATCTAGATTCCAAATATCCCTGAAAAGTTTGTGACTTCCTTTCTCCAAAATACAGTCACCCAATGAATTATGACCTCTTTTGGGGGGAAGTTCACATCTGTAAGTCTACACTGATGATGGAAAAGAACATTGGGTGAAAATGTTAATGCTAAATCTGAGGCTAAGAGTATACTTAGAAGATAATTAACTAGAAAGCTATGTCAAGGTTGGAGACGTCAAGCACAGATATAGCAAGTAGGTGGGGTGTATGAACTCGGGAATCAATGGTCCTGGATTTGAGCTAACGTTATCTCACCCTGTGTCCTGACTATGCACAGTTGAGTGGGTGAATAAAAACTTAAGCAAGCCATTTTAAGATGGAGCAGCTTCACGAATTTGCATTTTGGAATTTCCCATGGGATATGCTACTAGTTGCTTATTTATTGCATGCCCAACATACCATATCATGTTCTGAGGATACCACGTGAGCCAAATAAAATACAAATTCTGCCCTCAAGGAGTTTACATTCCAGCAGGAAAGACAGGTGTTAATCAAGTGCTTATACAAATAAATGTCAAATTGCAATTGCGATAAATGCTGTGAGGGAAAGTAATTGGTGCCATAAAAGCTGATCACAGGGGAACTTGACCTAGTCAGCAAGGTCAGAGATGTCCTAAGGAAGTTTGTGCTGATATCAAAAAGATGAGTAGCAATCCGTAAGATAAAGTGGAGTAAGAAAGAATATTTGAGGCAGGGAGAAGAACATATCTAAGCCTTTTTGGGAGAAGAGATCATAGTATAGTGTTCAGTGCAGCCAGAGTACAGAGTATGGGCGTGGGGGAGGGTGTTGGGAAAGTGTGGAGGAAGCTGATTCAAGAGATAGGTAAGACCAAACCATGCGTGACTTTAAAGATAGATAAAAAAAAGTCTGAATCATTTTAAGAATGAAGGATGGTGATGTCATATTTTGCATTTTAATACAATCAACTCAGCTACAATATAGAGGAGAGAGAGTAGTTGGGCAGAATGGGACTGGAGAGACAGTTAAGAGGCTATTGTAGACACAATTGGAGAAATAATAACTGATTAGGGTAGTGGTGGAAGAGATAGAGAAAGGACAAGTTAAAGAGCTACTTAGGAGGTAAAAAAATAAATAAAAACAGTTATCAGTACACCGATACTTTGGAAATGATGTTAAAGACGAGAAAGGGGCTAATCCTGATGGGGGCGTGTCAAATGATCCTGTCCATTGAGACAAGGTATTAGAATCCATCATTTTGTGTAATAATTTTACATATGAAAAGCTAAAACAGAGAAGTGCTGCTCTTCCCCCTACCCCCCAGTTTTATTGAGATATAATTGGCATATAGCATTGTACAAATTTGAGATTTATGACATAATGATTTGATATATTTATATATTATGGAATGATTACTACAAGTTTAGTTAACATCCATCACCCCATACAGTTATAAAGATTTTGTTCCTGTGATGATAACTCTTAAGATCTACTCTTAGCAAGTTTCAAATATACAATACAGCATCGTTAACTATAGTCACCATGCTGTATTTAACATCCCCAGAACATATAACTGGAAGTTTGTACCTTTTGACCATCCTCACATATTTCCTCCACCCTCCTCCCCCTGCCTCTTGCAACCACAAATTTGATCCTTGTTTCTATGAATGTGCTTTTTTTGTAGATTCCACATATAAGTGAGATCATACAGTATTTGTTTTTCTCTGATTTATTTCACTTAGCATAATGTCCTTACAGTCCACCCATGTTGTTCCAAATGGCAGAATGTCCTTTATGGCTGAAGGACATTAGCGTCCATTATCTAATTCAAAATATTTATTGAGCACTTACATATGCCAAAGATTGCTATAGATGTTGAGAATACAACAAAAAGCAGTAATACAACAGAAGCATTAAATTAGTTTGGTTGGCCCCAAAACAGCTCATTCCTTTGGGAGGTAGTCCCAGAAAGCCAGAATGTGGATGCAGAAAGAGTGACAGGGTTGGAAATCCGGAAGCAAAGCCAGTGAAAGGCATGTTCCTGATTGCCTTTATTCTGGAAAGCAGAGCTCAGTCCAACTGGGGATCTTACAATAAACTGTATAGAATACACCTCAGAATTTTCCCTCCAAGTAATAGGCGATTTAGACTGATCCACTGACTTACCATCCTACAGTTGAGAGTTGAGATATTGACTCCCCTGCACTTTTGGGCTTTGGCTGTGAGCAGCCATAACAAGATGCTCTGGAGAAAACCCTGGGGCAGAGAATCTGACAGATGACATGGAAACTTGAGATGAAAAACTCCAAAAGAAAGCTGAACAAGCTATCAGCAAAATGTCTTGATCAAAGGACATGGCTGGATTTTGCATAGTAACAGTGACATACAATGTTAAAAGGCAATTACACCCACTAGTACTTCTTAGCTGACATTTCAGTTTGCAATGGGAAGAAATCATTGATGCATAGCCTATATGTCAACTTGTGGTATACATGAGATTAATATATAAAAAGAATTGCTTGATGAGTTTTTTGCTCTATCACTGAAAACTCATGCCATGAAAGGATCGATTTTTCATTTTGTGAAAAACTATTTTGTGAGTTGTGTTGATGTGACAAATATGCTCCAGAAGTCACAGTGGCTTAACAGTAAAAGTTTACTGATCACTCAGATCACTCATATCATAGCCCAGTGCAATTAGGTCAGTCATCCTCCATCTTGTATGCTCTATGATCTGGAACACATGATATCCAGGATGTCTATGGAAAATAAAATGAGCCGAAGGGTTGTGTGGGATATTTCTAAGAGCTGGGCTTCAAAATGATTTCTATCACTTTCATCTATACTCCACAGGCTGATACTCAAACATAATTGCTATGGACACTATAATATGTAATCTCCCTGTGTACCAAGGAAGAAGAAATGGTGTGGTAAACACGAGCATTGTCTTTGCCACACGAATGTGGACTGGACAAAACATGTGATCAGTGCTTATGGACTAATAGCTGTATATAACAATGAAAAACATAATTAATCAAATAATAGTTCTATCATTCCCAATGGTCTAAATTGTGAGTTAGAACTTTTAATTCAGTGGAAATAAAAGAAACAATAATAACAAAGAAACTGCCTAGATATAATAATAAAAGCTAGGTAAACAAAATTTGAAGAAATAATGCATTGAGTTCTTGTAGAAAAATATGATTGTAAGTTCACAATCCCTTATCTGCAATTCTCAAATCCAAAGATCTTAATTTTTTTGTAAGTTCATAACAAATTCATTTAATGACCTGACCTAAACAAAAATAAAGATTCTTATTTTGTCTTTTTAAATCCTACTTGGTCTGATGATTTGCTATAGAAATCTTAACAGTTTATTTCACGATGTTGTCCTTACTCTACTGAATATATTACATAACGTGAGGAACACAATTTATAAAATCTGAAAACAATTGAATACTAAAATATACCTGGTCTCAAGAGTTTCCAGTAATGTATTGTGGATTTATATTAC